CGGGGGAGGACCCAGAGGCGACTGCCGACCCGATGGCGCAGGACCCGCAGGCAGCCACCGAGCCACAGCCAGGGGCCAAACGGGCGAGCCAGGGGGCAGGGCGGGCGGGACCTGGGCCCGACGCCTATGTCCCCGTCCCTTACGGGACACTGAAAGACCGGGTCCTACAAGGCGTTGTTCATGGTGGGGCAAGGGAGAGAGAGTCAGGGAGGTGGCCAGTGATGACATGGGTGGGGTGGCTGCCGATGGTGCCGCCTCATCCACGGACGAGCGGTGGCCTCGGGCAGGGCCACGGGCAGAGCGGCGGCCTCGGGCAGGGCCGCGGGCAGAGCGGCGGCAGCAACAGCAGCAGGTGTTGCCACAGGCAATGCGGCGGCAGCAGCAGCCGGCGGTGCTGCAGGCGGGTCCGGAGCTGGTAAGTCCGGAGCAGGTAAGCCTGGGACTGCCCCTTTAAGGGCTTTAGGGACCCGGGGAATTGCGTCCCTCACGGCGCGCATTCCTTCGTGCCCCAGACGCTCCGGCCGATATTGATACGCCTCCAAAGGCGGCTGCTGTATCAGGAGGGGTCCCTCCTGACATTCCGCGGGGAGAGTGGCTGTGGAGAGACTGCAGGCCCCCACGAAGGCTGGAGCCGCTTCTCTCTTATCCTGGCGCTGAGCTGCTGCATCAGAGCGCGCACCTCTGCCATTGCGTGCGCCTCTGTGCACGGGGTAACCTCTTGTAAGAGGTTCCAGCTCTGTTCGGCGAGGGCAGATAAGTCGGGGTCCACTTGGACCTTGGGCTGCTCTCGCCAATATCTCACCTCGAGCAGCTGGACAAGCCAAGGATCCTGGTCCAGGAGCGGTTAGTTGTCTGAGAGATTAGTCATTCTGTCACGTTACGGGATCTGGCGAACAGGCAAGCAGGCTAGATGAGCCGGTCAGACGGGTAAACGGGGATTTTAATGGTGACGAGAAGGCAGACATCCAATAACAAGCATAACAATACATGACACTACAATGACTAATCTGGGGAAGACTGACTGAGACTCGGACTAAATACACAAGACAAGGTAAAAGGAATAGGCAACAGGTGATGACAATCAGGAGTTAACACTAGGTAACGAGGGGGCGTGGCACACACGAGGATCGTACAGAGCTGGGCGTGACACATAGAACATTCCTTTAAGTATATTATAACATCCTAACATACCTTAACAGCTTTATTATACATAAATAACAAACATTATATGATAATAACAAGTATAACCATATGATATGAATGTATGATGAATCATAATATTTGTTATTATTGTTTATTTCCTATGATCAAATGATTCTTGTAAAAAATCAGAATGTGCCTCTATTATATCTATGATCTAGCCTATTCATCCTTTTCATTTAACTATCCTATTTAACAATAATTAAAAGTGTAATTCTGTTTTTGTTTAGCTCTAAGACACACGTACAGATCCCATGCCCTTCCATGGACCTAATGAAAACTTTGTTTCCTTTTTTATTTCTCCTGTACAACAGCCAAAATACTTGTCTTGTCTTCCTCTCCATTGTTTTGTAAAATCTGTTCCTGTTCCATCCTCTTGTCTGCTAATCTGTTTGACACTCCGGTTGGGGAAAGTTTTACAGAGAATGAAGGAATAAAATCTTCATAGTTTGGAAGGTGTTTAATTAAATTTAAACTCTTACTAAATTATCCTTGTTTCAGGCAATCTTAAGGGCCTCAAAGTAGCCATTATGTTTGTCAGATAAATACTTTTACATTTGGTCTCCTCTCCTTCATTTATAAATCATCGAAAATCTGAACCTTTGCATAAGGTACCATGTTCAGCTAATACCAGATGGGTATAGCAAAGACTTTTTCTCTTCATTTGTTGTTATCATCGTGACAAGCCATGGTGGCACCAGAAATAACCTTTCCATAAAAGAGGTGTCAGTCACCATTATCCTTTTGCACAACCATTAGTTGTGTTACGCGAGTTGGACATTCTGAGCTACATTGGTCTGCCAGATCCTATATTTCAGCTCAAGGACTGTCTTTTACTCAAATCATTCTCTCTGTAATTCCACACAACTGATAACACCATGAAACCTAGAAAGTGTGCTGCACCTTTGTATTATTTATATTCTTAATATGTCAACACCTCCAATCTCTACAATTGCTAGAATTCCTGGATGGATCAAATGGAAATGAAAAAGCCAATAAATGTGTTCTTGCTTGAATCTTCTAATCCTAATTGTCACTCGTGATATGTAACTCTGAACATACACATTAATTTGTTTCACATTCCACTTCTATGCAAGTTTGCAGAATCTTATATTATTTTTATTTTTTATGTTTATATGTACATTCTATTAGTTACTCATTTGGATTATGAATAACATCTTCCATAACATAAACTGGTATTACAGTTGATTTTGCAGTGACAATGGATACATTTTCTGCTTTCTTTTCATCAATGATTTCAGTAAAGGTAAATTTGAATGTTGAAACACAGAGAGGTCTTTAGTAATTGTAGAGAAATATCTGTCAAAAGGTCACCATCAGCTCGCAGCTCTGTCCTTGCTGATTAATATTAGTCTAGCAACAGGCCAGCCACTGAAATCTACTCACCCATTCCCCCCGTGTACTTTGTCCATGTAGGTGACCTCGTACAATCTACAACCCATGGGGTCCTGTAAATCACTACCTATTCCTTCACAGAAAACTTGCAAAGGGAATCATGCCTAATTTAAAGCAGAATGGGTTGTAACCTGATTACCTTTTGCATGCCCTGATCTCACAAAAATAATCAGGCCAGGTTACGAAAAGAATGCAAACCTCGCCAAATTACTTTCTGTCATGTCTTCCTCAAGGCACTGTTGAGGGTGCTAGAGCACACCAGGGAGTAACCAAGAGTATTAGTCTTCTGGAAACTTCCATTTCAGGATGTGACCCCATGAACACATCTGCAGATGATCACCTGCTCATTGGGCATTATTGAAGTTTGCAGAGTACATGGTATTTAAAAAAAAAATCTGTAGAAACTTGGATTCTTGAACTTGATTGGTGACAGATTTACGCTATTTTGGATCTCTTTAGTCTACCTATGTTTGTTGTTGCTTCTGTAGGGATGCATTTGGATTTGAAGACCTCTGTGAACCATGTACTTACCTCAGAAATTCTCCATAATTTGTTGCCTTACATTTTTTACAGTAAATGCTTAATCAATGTCAAAATCATACCTGGCAGTTCTTTGTGGCTGTCTATTTACATAAGAAACTTGCATATGAGATTTGTCTCAAATTTTTGTTGCTTTCTGCACATGTGCTTGGAAGCCCTGTCTGACACTTCATTATAATATCACCCAAAGAGATATATTGTGAGAACTTTAGCGTTCACATTCAGAAGACTACAGTTTCTTCTGAAAAAAAAAATGGATTCAATCATTCCTGTGCAGCAGTGTTTCCTGCAGCAACATAGTGAGGTATTACATATGTTGTTTTTCTGTAATGTTCATTGGAATCCTAATTTTAGAAAAGACTGCTAGTAAAATGTAAAAGTATGCCTGAATGCCCTTGTCTGGCTGGAGAGAAGTAAGCAAACAAAGGGAGTTTTGGGAGATCAGAAAAATAATATTCTTTCCAAGCCATGAAACATCACATCACAGTGACACCTGGTGGCCGAATGCTGCTTGATAAAGCACCGTTCAAGACGATATGCCTAAAAGATTCAGCCTGACACCATTGGGACACTGTTTTGGAGAAACCGAATGACTAGTGTTTTTAAAGAAATATTCAAACATTGATTTCATGCCATGACATTCTGTTGAATCTTATGTATTTGCTTGCTTAGAAATTGAATATACTGTATATTAAGGGGGTGGTTATTGATGATAAACATAAGGCTTTATAAGTTAATATGACCAGTGCCAGTTGGGGGGAGGGGGGAGTATTTCAGGAATAGGGAGGGGGTGAGATGGGCAGCAGTGTATTTAGTATGACTGCCTTGGGGAAGAAGCTGTTGCTGAACCTGGCAGAAATGCTTTGGATAGTCCTGTACCTTCTGCCAGAAGGGAACAGGATAGATAGTCTATGGGAAGGGTGTGGGGGTGAGGCTGGTTCTCCACACTGCTGGAAGCTTTATAGGTGCAGTGTTTGGGGAAAGTGTCCTTGATGCAGGGGAGGGAGTTCCCAGTGTCTTTTTTCCTGTTCCATGCACTATCGACTGCAGGGACTTGTGTTCTTGGACTTGCAATACCCAAACCAGACAGTGATGCAGCTGCTCAGAACACTCTCTATAGTGCCCCTGCAGAATGTGGTGAGGATGGGGATGGAAGTCTTGCACTCCTGCCTCAAGAAATGGAGATCCCATTGTGCCTTATTGACTAAGCTAGTGGTGTTGAGAGTTATAGGTGTTAGAAAGAGGTGTTGACAGATACATTTGTTTATTGAAATGTTTTTATTTTTTCATTGTCAGTTATGATAAAGCTTGAAGAATTACCAAGTTTAAGAACTACGATCTGTTCTGCTTGGGCTCAAAATGTCTGTTTTTTTGTGAATACTCTCTAACAAGGCTCTTAGGTTATTAGAATAGAAAGATGTTTTTGCCAACTGAAACAGATGAAATATTTCAAAGTGTCTAGCCCAGTCAGTGGCCTTCACAGTGGCATCAGCAGAGGCATTCAAAACCTGGACGGTTTCAGCCACTCTGCTGTAAAAAAAACAGACTTCTTCATTAATGTCACAATCCTGAGGTGATGATCTGTTGATTGCTGACAAGACTTGCTTCTGTATGGAATGTTGAATGAATAAGGCAGCATTTGCCCATTTCTGGATGATGATATTCTCCATACTTTATCAGATTTGGGTCTGGCTGTAGTATTCAATTGAAACAAGACTCAAAATCTTCACCACTAGAACCAGCCATTTCACCAATTCCATTCAGTCATTCATATCTCCACCACTGTGTTATCCTTTGCTATGTGAGTGTTACATTTGGAGAGAGGAACAACCCAGGTATAGCCATGGAGCAGGTATGAAGGGGTTGTATCAAGACAAACAAAACAGGACCATGCAGGGTCTAACAGGGAACTGGGGATAACTAAAGGCAGAGGAAGACATGGACCAAACACAAGGTGGTATTGCGCCAAAGAAGCAGGGATCACACAGGCACTGACATAGGCAGCAACATGGGTAACGACAATGACTGAACTGGGCCTGAGGAGGTCCAAGCCTAATGAGTGTGCAGCAAGCAACAGGCATGGTACTTTAGGCTCATGTCAGGGAGGAGATGGGAGTGCCAGGCAGGCACATGACTGGCAGGACACAATGCTGTATGTGCCACTACGGTCTTTCTTTCAGTATAACTTTCTGTTCAAAATTAATTGAGGCAATCAGCTTTAGTCTGATTTCATTTTAAATAAAACCCCCTTCTACATCTTGTCAGTCCTTAGCCCAGCACTTTCTGCAAAATGATTGAAGACAGAACATTTTCAGTTATAAATTTCTGTTACTGATTAATTTTCCCCTACCTTGGGCAGAAATGCACACATCTGAGATATAATTTCAAAAAATCTTTCACATGACAAATTATTTTAGGTAAAAGACCAAAATACCTTCCTTCATTGGGACGGCACATGACGCCTGCGGCCAGATTTATGCGATAATAAATTTGAATGAGTCCTCATTTTACGTCATATAGTCTCATCCCTCCCTGCTATGATTTTCCCAGTATAGTTTAAAGCGATTTTCATTACTGAGATCCATTTTTTTCACCGTGGAATATGAGTAACATCAGTGAAATCATGCAAAGACACACTGGAAAAACAAATATATAATTATGAAATGAGAAATTCCTGCTGAGATAGTATGGGGCAATATATGATTAGAATTAGAGAAATCAGAAATACAATTCAATAAAACAATAATCTAGATCCAGATCAATTGAATGTCATATACTGGATTTATATAGCATATAATGGTCATGTAAAATCATATGTAGTTTTACCTTCTGAGATTTTTGAATTTGTTCACTGAAAATTGGTTGAAATTTAATTGTACACAATAGTTATTTCTTTAGAATAATAAACAAGAAATAAACTTCCTGTTTTGGGCAGACAACATGAAAAGGAAAATCCTATCACTGTATAAATTAAAGATTAAACGATTTGTCACAGACCTGAAGCTGCCATTTGAGAGAGGTGAAATTTTGAAACTGAGCAAGTTCTGAACAATTAACAAGAGTTGTAGTGAATATACTCGATTTCGTATGATGTTGATGGATTTGTAATCATACAGCATTATTAGGTCTATTTAAACAAACTTAATCTGCAACAATGTTTACTCTGGTCTTATTACGTGAGCGTGTCTTTTCTCTCTTCACCTGGATACGATCCCTTAGCGCTTCGTTTTTCCCTCAGCATCACCATCTTTCGCTGCTATGTCATGTCAAGATTATTCTACGGCTCGCTCTCGCTCTGTCTCTCTCTCTGAAATGTGGCGTTTGTAGCGCGTCTTAAACAGCACAAGGCAGAAGGGGTTTACATTGAAAATAATTCAATTTTTGGCAGAAAAACAACACATTACGTTCATCCACTTTCTTTCTACTGGAATTTTGACGCACTGAACATTCCACCATTACTTCCCAAAGCAAAGCGGACTTTCTAGCGCTTTCTTCTCGGTTCGTCCAGAGGAAGCCATTCGTTGCAGCTGTAGGTATCGTCATGGTGTTGGCTATTATTATAGTATTACTACTCCTGTTCGAAACTTCAAAGACTTCGGCTCATTATGAGATGATGGGAACCTGTCGAATGATCTGCGATCCATACAACCCTAAATCCAGCTCTACTGCCATGGAAGTGATGCAGGACCTGAGTGTCATCCCGCCAACCTTCGTTCAAGGGACTAGAGGTGAGCCAGGGCGACCGGGGAAACCCGGACCTCGGGGTCCACCTGGCGAGCCGGGTCCGCCCGGTCCAAAAGGACCACCGGGAGAGAGAGGCGAATCGGGGAAGCCAGGGTTTACAGGTCTAACCTCGGGGACAGCGAAGACGGAAACGGGGGAGGTTAGTGCAACAGTGTTCGGAACAAAAATAGCTTTTTATGTAGGTCTGAAGAACCCTCACGAAGGTTATGAAGTTCTCAAATTCGACGATGTAGTAACAAACCTGGGAAACCATTACGACTCGTCCACCGGAAAGTTCACTTGCCAGGTGCCTGGGATTTATTTCTTCACATACCACGTTTTAATGAGAGGAGGCGATGGGACCAGCATGTGGGCAGACCTTTGCAAAAACGGACAGGTAACTGTTCATGCTCAATCTTGCCAAAAGTGTATCGCGACTGGATGCGTAACTTTTGTAGTAGTAGTAATAATAATAATAATAATAATAATAATCATCATCATCATTTGCAACATCAGTTCCCAAGTCCAAGTCCAAACTAAGAAATGTGGAATATTGGCTACATTAACTTTGATTTCCTTTGTATTTTAAGTTCTGGTTTTGAATGAAAAAGATTAAGATAAGCCTACTAACATAAAAAAAAACTCCAAATTACTTGTTTTACAATAATTATAATTCGCGATTTGCCGATTTTAGAATTTAAAATGTAACCCCATCATGCATTCTTAAAAAAACTGAGTTTGATTTCACAGGTCCGTGCTAGTGCCATTGCCCAGGATGCTGATCAAAACTATGATTACGCTAGTAATAGCGTGGTCCTGCATCTGGACTCTGGGGACGAAATATACATCAAACTGGACGGTGGCAAAGCTCACGGAGGCAACAATAACAAGTACAGCACATTTTCGGGCTTCATTTTGTATCCTGACTGATGATTTCGCTGACATCTCAGACTCTTACAAGTTAATGTGCTCGTGAACAAAATGATTTATATCTAGGCCATTATCCATCTACTTAATTCTACTTTTTGGGGACAATAACACATCACATGCGTTTCTTGTCCAGCTGGTACATGCAAAGACATCGTTTTGAAATCAATATTTTGGTTGTGGTAATTTTTGTTTTGGCATAATGTGGTGTGAAAACGAAAAAGCAACGTATGCAAAATATAGGAACTATATACAAATATAAAAACAAGGAGATGGATAATTTTTATGTATAGCCTAATACCTCATGTGTAGTCAATGTGACTGATAAGTCAGGTAGATTGTCTGCGTTATTACATATTATTGTCCATAAAGTGTTCAAATAAAATGATTTTGTTGGAGTTTTATTTTAATTCATTGTCTTGCCTGTATTAAATCGGTGATTCATTTAAATCTTAAGAAATATTAAGTTATACACAAAAATGTAAAAAGTATAGACGTAACATAGATTTATTTATTTTATTACTTTCTTATTTTTCTTAGTATTTAACTAAGAAAAAATTTATTAAATTTATTATTTTATTAAATGTACATTAAACACATTTTCCTCAGGAAAAAGTGCCATTATTACCATATTAAGCTGTGTTCTTTTCAAAACTAAGGAATGTATTCAGAGGTAATTAGTCAGTTCTGAATCACAGCAACCTTTATTGTGCTTTTTTGTAACCAAGCAGTAGGCCTATATTTAATAATGTCTTAATATGACCATACTTCAGCTTCCTAAGAAAACTTCACCTTGGCAAATGGGAAGTGATGTTCCAGTCACTAGGTTACATTTCTGAGGTAGTAACATCAGACAGTCCAGTATGGGTTGCATGCCTCATTGCTACCACATTTCACACAAAGTTGTGTTTTTGTCTCATTGGATGTGGTAATGATTACAAAGATAAGGGGTGGTGTGTGGTTCAGTGGGTGAGGTCATGGTGCTTGTGATCACAGGGTTTCTGGTTTGAATAATATCCTCAGCAGAATAGTCACATTTTTGTTGGGCCCCTGAGCCACGCCTTAGCCCTCTGAAATGCTCCCAGGATACTGGATAATTGGCTCACCCTGCACTAGCACCCAAAGCTTCACTCTCAGCTGTATATATGTCTGTGCATCTCATAAGAGCACAAGATGGGATGTGCAAAAAAGCATTGCAATGTACCTGCAAATGGCAATTAAAGGATAATTTCTGCTTGTGGAATTTAGAACCAGTGATACTCTCTTGCCCAGTTCTGTGAGGGAATTTAGTAAGAGTTATATCTACCTTTTTAGCACAAAATCTTGGTCTTTTATAGTTGGAGTTGGCTCCCAGTAAATGTGTATCTTGTCTCCATTTCTAATTGAGATTTTTTTTTTATGGACAGGATGTCAAAGTTCAGTATGTTTCATTCTTTAATGCATTTGATGTTAAATCTCATTTCAATTTTGAAACTTGAAAGTTTGAAAAAAATTACTTTATTTTAGCTGACAGTAAAAGGGCAATTTAATTTAGTACTAGCTACTTTCTCTTGGCCAAGTTCAGCAGTGAATGTATCCATGTATTTGTCACTTCATTTTATTGGTTATATCAAAATTTAACTAGATGTTTGTCTCCTTGTTACCAAGTCTGTGGTATCAGCAGTGGAGGGGCTTCACATTCCTGGTCAGTCTCTCCATTCTCCACCTGAGCCAGGAGCTCTGGGGGCTTGGCATGACATAGTCATTGAGGTTCTCCATGGCTACACTGCAGGGACTCTCTGTTGGATCCTCAAATCCAGGCCTGTCACAGCCTAGCAGAAGTGGCACTGGTAATTGTGACAAGCAACTCTCCTAGGGGATCTGCAAAGTGTACTGTAGCAGTAGGAGTGGTTCTCACACCCCATGCACACAGGGAAGGGAGCCCTCCCTCTGCATGGCAGGAGGGTCGGGCTAGGTTATGATTCTTCTAGAATCGAGTAAGGCCAGGGTGACCCGAACCATGAGGATGTGAACCATTTTCATCCCAGAGCTAGCCAAACAGGCTTTGTGGCCTGAGCACACACTGGGGTAGGGGAGTATGGGTTAATCCAACAGAAAGATGTGGTTCTGGGTCTGCCAAGGCTCCTCACAATTGTCATTCTTGGGTCCTTGTCATTGTTGCAGTCATTGGTCCTAAGGACACTGTCGCAGGGTTGCTGGCAGTTTGTTTTGTCTTTTAGGGACAAGATCATGGCAATGGCTCAGTCCATTACAAGGGGTTGGTCGTCTTCCTGGCACACAAGCCAGCACACGGAAAGGGACTGCAAGTAGTCCAGGGGCACTGCTTTTGCAACTTGATGTATGGTGCTCCATTTTCAGTCATCACTAGGGTCTATCTATGGAACTGGAGTGCTGCAGATATGTGAGACCGACTCAGCCTTTGAAGGTGTCATAATCTTGGGAGGCTAGTAGACAGTATGTGCTTGCCCTGTAAGACAGGGGCCAGGATTCAGTCCTAGACCAGGTGCAAGCCACCATTCCCTCTTGACAGTCCTCTCAAATGCAGAGAGGTATGCTTCAATGTCATCCTCAGCAATGAGCTTAGTAAGAATCAGGTGAATGGTATGCTGGGTCTCTTAGTTTTTCTGTAGCCTAAGGCAGGGATGGACTGGGCTATCTCTCAAAGTTGGGGACCAGAATCAAAGCCCACAGCACCAATACTGCTGGCTCTTTTCCACTGCCACCAAGACCTGAGTCATGCCCAAGCCGTACTGCAAAAGGGTGGACCGTGCTGGCATGGCCCTGCTTACTAGCAGGGCCGAAAGCATGACCAAACTGAGCTGGTTGCATCAGCACCATCTGATTGGTCTAAATGGATGGAGATACCAGTGTTCTGCACATGGATTATTTGAAAGAAAAAGAGTATATTCTGTAAATTATTCATTATTAGCAGTATTGTACATCTTAATGAATTGATAACTCAGAACATGAAAATTTCCAACTTCCTACTTAAAAAAGTACTATAGAACTACAAAAAGGAATGGATTCATAATGCAAATTTATGCAAGTGAATGCTGTTTCCGCTAGTGTTGGATGCTTGCATAACACAGCAATTCTTACAAATGTGCTAGAAAATAGGAAATTAGGATATTATAAATCATGATGCACATCGTGTGAACACTAAACAAGCGTCTCTTCGGTTTTATGTCACTGTTGCTCTCCAAACCCAACAATACCTTTACCGAATCCCTTCTGCAGTGGAAAACCAAAGCGAGCTACAACCATGCTGTAATTAGTTTCTCTTCGAAGTACAGCTCAGGTACAGCTTGGTTCCTGAATGCCAGTGGAAAAGCAGCATAAGTAGTAATGATCTTCTCCATACACCCGTTAATGCTATCATACATTTACAATAGCTATTAATAATTAGTTTACATTTGTAAATTCTATATCATAATTTAAAAAGGTAAATGGCATATGGTATGTTAAAATGTTGGCAAACAAATAGTTATTTTACAGCTTAAAGTGCTTGACTTTACTGATACCTTAAAGAATTGTTTCATTAGTTTTACCATCAAGTTGGAAATATATTTTTTATTGTTACTTTCATTTTCTCTGCCACCTCATCTGAATGTCCCTCAACCATATTCACTGCAGATAAACATACGTCTATTGCTTTTGACAAGTGGGGGCACTGATTATTAAGGTTAATGCCATGAAAACCGTTATGGTGGTACTTATGCATATTTCTCCAAAAGCAACTTTTTCTTTCTGAAATGCAAAAGTTTAGTTCATTTACACTTTAACACATTTAACGTCACTATAACAAGCATCCTGAGCATAAATGCAGAAAAAAATGTCTGTCCCTCTATGAAGGTCCTGAACTGTGTGGTCATTATGTGCAAGCTCTTTATTTCCCGATGGGATGGGTGTCACTTGCCTCTGCCCCAGGCCTCTGGGTGGTGGAACGTGCTCGCTCAGCGGTCACTGACCAGCCCATGTGCTGTCAGCTGCATGACAGGCGCGGGGAGACGGTCAACACCATGGAGGCACAACTCAGGAACCCACCATCTGTCCCTCCATTTCACGAGGACCTCCTTTGACCCGAAGCTGTCGGGCTATACGTCAGTTTTCCAACAATTAAAGGCTAGTGCTGCAGCGTTAACATTCAAAAGTCATACTGCACTATAGCAATTTAGCCCCAATGCTCTATAACCATATGAAAACAAGTCTCTAGGACCAGAGATTTTAATGGCACTGAAATATTGTGGAATAATAGAAAATGGCATCAAATATATAAGTATGACAATTAATTAAACCCTTACTCAGACTTATCAGGGGTCTGATGTCAACACCAAAGAACACATTTGTTTGTCCTCTATTTCGAGTCTGTTAATGGCTGAGGTTAGAAGTTCCATCTGTAAGCATATGTGAGACAAAGATATTTTTAAACAGTCAAAAAGAAAAAAAATATCCTCAATCCTAGGACAAAATTTGTTAGATGTATAAATAAATGATAGCTACAAGCTTGATGGGCCGAATGGCCTCCTCTCGTTTGTAAATTTCTTATGTTCTTATGTTAAGCACTTATGCATTTTAAAAATAGTTTTTCTGCTATAATGTTTGAATGATCATTTACAGAACAACATATGTTATATGTTTTATATTGCTTGTTTCTCTCAGTGTGGCATGGTAAGCCCCTGGATAGCATTGTGGCCAGACATCTCAGAAACTGTATATTCATCTCACCCTTTCTGTGTGTGGAGATTCCGTGTGTGTGTGTGTGTGTGTGTGGGCAGGGGGATAATCCTCAATCCAAAGAGATGCTGCTCAGATAAACTGGTGTCTCTTAATTGTGTGTATGGGATGGGGTCTGTCCACTGTGACCCAACCTTTCTTTGGGGATAGGCAGCTTCTGAATGACATCCTCAGGAATGGTGGCCTTGCACCCCACGATTTTGGGTGTGGGGGTTGCATCAAGGGTATTTGTTTGGTTTTTACATACAGCACTGAACCCCTGCCCCCTAAACACATGGTACTTCCCGAATATTGGCAGGGAATAATATCCTACAATCTATACTCAAATATATGCCCTTGGTTCTCCTTCCATTTGTGTTTATTTTACAAATAATCAAGTATACAGATAATTAAGTATGTTTCCTATTGTTATATGGAAGCAATAGTTTCATATAATAAATTGCAACAAGGAATTATCCTTGACTATGAAACACATCATGGAACAAATTTTATTTTAACCTTTTAATTTATTATAATATTCTACAAAGCCCT